GGGGAAGCGAACTGGTCGGGAGGGGTGGGAAAGGAGAAAATTCCCGCAAGGAATGAATGGAAATCCAAAACTTCTGTAAAAAAAAATTATAAAAAAAAAAAAGAGATATGAACAGAACACACACCAAAAAAAAACAACAACAACTATGAGATACAATCTCACCCCAGTCAGAATAGCAAAATTTAACAAAACAGCAAGCAACAAATGCTGACGAGGTTGTGGAGAAACTGGAACCCTTATTCACTGTTGGAGGGAGTGTAAAATGGTGCAACCACTGTGGAAGGCGGTATGGCACTTTCTCAAAAAGTTGCAAGTAGAGATACCATTTGACCCAGCAGTTCCACTACTGGGAATATACCCCATAGAGACCATAACTGCCACCCAAGCAGACATACACACACCCATGTTTATCGTGGCTTTGTTCACAACAGCAAGGAGTTGGAAACAACCTAAGTGCCCTTCAACAGTTAAATGGATAGAGAAGCTGTGGTATATTCACACAGTGGAATACTATGCTGCATTGAAAAACAAGGAACTCATGCAATATTATTCATAATGTAGGACCCTGGAGGACATTATACTGAGTGAAGTATCCCAGTCACAAAAGGACAAATACTGCATAGTGCCACTGTTGTAAAACAGGAATGACCTCGGGGTTGGGGGGAGACTGAGAAAGATGGGTTCAATAATGTATACTGCATTGAAACAGATAAGGGAGAAAGCTGTTTAAAAGGGATATGTGATTAGGGTTTTTTGTCATGACAGGAGTCCAGAGCGAAAGCTGTATAGTGGAGTGGACCTGAGGGGGAGGGATTGTAAAACAGTGAAAGGGTAGTGTACTAGAGGGGAGGGTTGGGAGGGGAGCAAAGTGCAAAAATGAATGAATGGAAATCCAAGTCTCTGTAAATTTTCATTGGAATTATTAATTTAAAAAAAACTGGATAAAGCAAATCCCATTGCTATCTAGTTGTTCAGACTCATCACCACCCTCCGTAAGATTCCTGAGGTTATAAATCTTCACAGGCATGGCTAGTGTATTTAAACTGCCAGCTTTTTAGGCAGTAGCCCAACATAAAATGCACTATGATACCAGAGCGCCTTCATAAAGGGATATTTACAGAAAGGACATGTATTCATCCCTCTTCAGGTAACTTTCTGAATTCACACGGTTATGGTTTGTGTGAGCAGGGGCGTGTCCTGAGGTCAGTGGGGCAGAGTTGAGAAGGGAGATAATAAAGAAATGGGACTTGGGGTCCCATGTGGTATCAGATGCCTGGGGAAGGGAAGCAAATTGGGATTCAGAGTTTTTTGGCTCTCTGCCTCCGTGAAGCACTGATGAAGATACATTAGGCTTTAGCATTGTTCCGCCTTTTCCCAGTGACATGGTCTCTGGGTGTGCCTTTCATTTCCTCCATATTGTGGGGCATCAGTCTTGTCCTACCTCTGCTGTGGGGAATGACCTCCCAGCCTGCAGAGTGGCCTGTGCCTGGAGCTGTGAAGAATCCCTCCTGTGTGGGAATACCTGGAGCAGGGTTTGTGGAGGAAATACATTTCTTGGGATTGCAGTTGATAATTACCAGACTGCCCCTAAGTCTTTGTCCTTCTCGTTGGCAGCTCTTTCCCTGGGCCTTTTTTCTGTGTGACAACCTCAAGGAACTAGCAGAATGGCTGCAAACAAGAATAAGAGCCAGAGCTCATTGGCCCTTCACAAAGTGATCATGGTTGGCAGCGGAGGAGTTGGCAAGTCAGCCCTGACGCTTCAGTTCATGTACGACGAGGTGAGACTTGTCACTCACACTGCCTTTGCTCTGTGTCCCTTCTATAGCTACTTCTACTCACATTTCCTTGATTGCAAAGAAGATCACGCGGCACATCTGTATTGAGGTAGTTCCAAACAGTTTATTGTAGAGTTCTATAATTGGACCAACATAGAATCCTAGATTTCTGGTTTTGAATGAAAAGTGAGTCCCTATGGAGCCCTCGTGGCACAGTAGTTAAGGTGATCTGTTATTAACCCCCAGCTTTATTGCCTCTCTTGGGAGCCAGGTCTGCTCCTATAACTTCCATAGGATTTGGAATCAATATGGTAGCTCTACAGTATTAAAAAGTTTGCTTTGCTTAGTGAGCCTTCACATGGTGCTCATATTAGCTGAAAGACTGACAGTTCAGACCCATTCAAAGGCACCTAGGAGGACGGGCCTTGCAATGTGCTTCTGAAAGGTCACAGCCTTGCCAGCCAGTCCTGTGGCAGAATTCTCTGTTCCTTGGAGTTGCCATGGTCATCAGCTGAACAGGAGCTGACAGTAACGAAGTGCTTTGCTTTGGTGGGCCCATCTGAGGTTCCTGGGTATGCTATTTCTGTTGTTAAATGTGGACTTACTTTCAGATAGGAGCAATGGAGAAGGAGGAACCGTTGTACAGGCATTTCTGAATCTGTTAGCTATGTGACTTGTTAATCTTGGGAAAGGTAGAATGAAGTAGCTGAACTGTCATGAGTTTAATGTCTTCTCAAATGATAGACATCAAATTTTCTCTTGTTCTTCCATGCAACAGAGTAAAGCTTGGCTGTTATATTTTCTTTATCCCTTTCAAAGGGTGCATCATTAATTTGGATAATGCATTAGATGTTAAATCTAAGTGACAACATAGCCTTGATTACTGTGGTGACAAAAGTTCCAGCTTGATTATCTTTTGCTACTCCAAGCAGAAGTGAAGATCAGCTGAAAAAGGAATCAGGGCTTCGACACAATCAGCACCATCTTATTAGAATTTCCATTTGTCCAACTTACTCTCATGTTAAATGGCATTAGAGTGGCCATCTCCCATAAAATTTTGGGGCTTTTGCTGAGAGAGGTTAAATTAGGGATACCTTTATTAGGGATTTGGTGGCGTACAGTGGTTTGGAACCACTTTAGAGCAGTTGTTTCTGGCTGTCCTGCAGGAGTGGCTTCCAGGAATATCCCTGCTCTCCACTGTATAGGCTCAGCTGGTGAACCAGTTGGGGTAGGGCTGAGTGTGCCTGATGTGTGCATGCCTTTGGCACCTGGTCCTGAGAGGCTCCCCAGTTTGTGGGCTCAGCTGGTGAACCCCGTAGGGCAGGGCTGAGGTGTGCCTGATGTGTGCATGCCCATGGCATGCAGTCCTGATAGGGTATGGGTGTGGAGAAGAAGCAAGGGTTGAAATGATGAAGCTGTAAATGGATCTGGGAAGTTCTTCCAGGTCTTATAGGTTCTTCTGGTAATAGATGTATCCTAAAGGTTATCCATCATGGACCATGTTTGGTGGAGCTCCCCAATTAAAACAAGCTTAGAAGTAGGAGTGGCATCCACTTCTGAAATAGCTTGCTTCCGGAAACCCTATGAACTTAGAGAAACGATAAATGTTATACAAGTGATCAGGGCTTTCATTCATACGGTCGCTATGAGTTGTCTACGACTTGACAGCACTTAACAACAAGAAATTTGAGAGTAGCCCTAAAGTTTTAATTACTAGGTTAAGCAGTTGTGAACCTGAATAGAACCTTTCCTTTTTTTTTTTTTTTAATAAAATTTTTATTTTATACTGGTTTACTTACAAAGCTTGTATACATTATTTTTCACACCAGATCTTTCCCATTCCTTTACTCATGCCTCCCTCCACCCATAAAATTGTGTGACCTTACGATTATATACACCACCACCCCCGACACCTACCCCCACCCATCCTCACCCCTCAGCCCCTGCCCTCTCTTACCTTGGATCCTCATATATGTTTTACTAGTTATCTATTTCTATAAAAATGGTTGTTGTTGTTATGTGTCATCAAGTCTCCTGTTACTCATAGCGACCCTATGTACAACAGCCCTAAACCCTGTTCTATCCTGTGCCAATCCCAATGCCTCTGACACACCTACCCCTATTAGCCCATCACTGAATCAATCTGTCTCAAAGAGGGGTCTTCCTTTCCTGTGCTTTCCCTCTGCCCTCCCAAGCATGATATCCCCCTCTAAGGATTGGTCCTTCCTTGCAACTTGTCCAAAGTGTGTCAGATGAAGCTTCAGAATCCTTGCCTCTAAGGAGCAGCCTAGTTTCACCCTCTCCATGACAAACCTTAGCAGTCCATGGTGTATTCAATACTCTTCTCTAACACCACAGCTCAAAGGAATAAATTATCCTTCTATCATCCCTAGTTGTTGTCTAGCTCTCTGATGCATAGCAAGTGACTGCAAAGACCGTGGCGTGTATCAGGCACACCTTAACCTCCAGACTGATAGCATTGCTCTTCAGTACTTTAGAGAGGTCTGTAACAGCAGACTTTCCCTTCACAATACATCTTTTAATTTCGTGGCTGCTGGTGCCACGAATGTTGATTGTGGAGCCAACCAAACTAAAGCTGTGAACAATCTCATTCTATTCACCATCTATCATGATGCTGCCAATTGGCTCAGTGGTGAGAATCTTTGTTTTCTTGATATTGAGCCTCAGTATTTGTCCTTATGGGACTGAATTACTTCACTTAGCATAATGCTCTCCAGTCTCTCCCAAGTTATGTAGTGATTTTCAAAATCATTGCTCCTGCATCTACATAGTATTCTATCATGTGAATGTAGCATATGTTTGTTTTTTTTTTTT